AAGTGACAGCCACCAGGCAAATAGCAGGCACAATGGATGCCAGGGCAGTGGCAGCCTTCCTGAACAGTGTGGTGGACACAACATTCTTCTGCTTCAGCACTGTGCCCAAAGAGCCCAGGATCATGCCGAAGAGCCACATGCACAAGTATGGCACTGCTGACAGGGTGGCATTCTCCTTGATGTCAAAGGCCAAGATGCTCTTCATGTAGATGGGCAGCTCAACAAGCAGCATGTACCAGCCCCAGTTGCCACAGGTGTGAGCAATCACAATGGCCCAGAATGGCAAAGATGTGAACACTGCCTTCCATGGAACTGATGGTCTCTTGGGCTATGATTGGTACCAGATGACAAAACCAGCATATTATCAAACAAAGTTGAATGAATAATGAGCAAGATGAAAGTACCACCATGGGTACCCACATAACAAAGCTAGTGAATTCCAGGAAAAGTTATGAATTCAAAATTTCTTTCACAAAAAACAGAATTTTCCTGAATGTAGACTTGAATAAAAACAAACAAACAAAAATCCTTAATCAATCCTAAAGACCTGTTTACTTCAGCAAAGCAAGACATTTAAGGATAAAATTGAAGGAATTCTGGAAAATTTGAGCTCAAAAATGTTTAGAATTCAAACATTTTTGCCCCTGAAATGAGGAATAAGTTCACCTTTTCTCTTTATATCATGATTTCTGTGAATTAAAAATAAATTCAAGTGTTTCAAGTCAAGAGGCAAACTTTTTATGCAAGTCAAAATCATATAATGAAACATCCACAAAAATCCTATAGGTCCTGTACAGACCTGTGTATATCATGATTTCTGTGAATTAAAAATAAATTCAAGTGTTTCAAGTCAAGAGGCAAACTTTTTATGCAAGTCAAAATCATATAATGAAACATCCACAAAAATCCTATAGGTCCTGTACAGACCTGTGTATTTCAGGTCTTCAGCCAACAGTAAGTATAAAATTCAAGTAATTTTGGAAAATTTTACACACACAACTTTCTAAAATTGCAAATATTTTTGGGCTAAAATTAAAAAAAAAATCAATTTCAGAATGTTTGCTGTGATTTCAAGAGAAATGCAAAATGTTAAACTCAAAACTTCAAAACTTATGTGAAGCAATAATGCGATTATAGGCAAGTTAAAAAAAATTATGGGGACTATTATTATTACAGAGATTTCCTCCAGCCAGAACCCATTATAATTATGACAATGATGATCTATACCTTTGCCTGATCCGCAGTCCTGACACTGTCACTCTTTCCCAAGGCAGACTCTTACATTCTTGCGAGGAGTAGTCTTTACTTACCCACTTGTCTTCCCAGTAGTATCCGGTCGTCGTAGGTCTCCTGTATGGTGTGTTCTGAGTCAGGTGGGACTTGTATCTTGTGCATAAGGGTACCAAGGGAGGCAGCAAGAATTCCAGAGAATGGCAAAGAGAACACAGTTCCCAAAGCAGTGCCTATATTCATAGTAAAAAGGATATGAAATAGAAAAGAGCGGAGGAAGCGAGAGAAAAAATAAATAAAACAATTAAAAAAACAGTGAATATTTTTCAGGTCAACTACCACAGTTGAACTGGCGCCAAATCAAAAAATAGAAAAAGGACACTTCCTTATTTCTCTTGCAATATAAAAAGTCACTCTGGCCCATCCCATATGCATTTTAAACTGTGAATCATTTACTTGCCTGATGATGGTTAACATTTAGTAGCTTCTTGTGAAGAAGTTTTCAGGATTAAAACAGAGCCAAACTCATAAAAAATTTACATAAATACTGGACAGTAAAAGTTGTGGCAACATTATTGTGTCAAGTCATTTAGTAGTCAAATGTCCAGTACACTACTTGGTACCTTCCAACTTGACCCTAATCTTTTCCCAAACTATAGGGCTGGATTGCAAAGGGGTTGAATTGCAATACACTTTGTGATATTCAAAAATATCAGTACAAAAATGCAAGAAAGTGGCCAAAGCAGGTAAAATTGTGGTGCAAGGGTCAAATTGCAAGTCAACCCCCATGTACATTTTATTGTTCAATTGTGGGATGGTCAAATTTTTGGAGGGCAAATTGCAAGGTACCACCTGTATTAGTCAGTTTTCCCTTTCTATATTTAAAATGAGGGAAAATTTGCTAATACCTCTTCCATTGGGAAATAAAATGAATTTATGAACTATTGGATGAAAGAGCCTAGAAAAAAAGATGTTATTACACTAGGATATTCTTTTGAAAAAGCCATTGAGTCCTAAAAACATTGGATTAATGATAAATACACCTTACAGAGACTGAAATGACATTTGCACTATGTACAGTGGCGTCTCAAGCAACAAACCTTGCACAGTAGGTTCCAGATTGTTCATGAGGGCATTTGATATCCAAGACACAATTTCCAACAATAAAATGAAAGAAATAATTCAAGTTCTGCATTTCCATAATATAAATGAAATCAAGGCCAAATACAAAGAAGTACCATAAAACTGAAACAGTAATAGAGTTTCCAATAATTTTTCATTGCCCATTTTTTGGCAGTATAAAATTTGAAGTTCAATCAAGGGAAATTCACATTTCCTCAAAATTTGAAATTCACTTCTTTGTTTCTCATTAGGAAATTTATAACTGGCACAAAATGTGGCCTTTTTCCTATACTTTAACATGTAGTGGCTACCCTTTAAGCTTATCAGTGCTCACTGCTAAATTTTCCAACAAAAACTCATGCAAAGGCGCCCATACATGCTTTCTAAAAACTTTCCAAATTTCAAGCATGTAGCTTCAACTCTTTTTGAAATATGGATGAAAGTGTAGAAGTTGTTTAATATCTATATATAAAACCATGTTTATTCTCTATTTTTTTGCGCGCAGTTTTTTCTTAACTAATCTCTTTACTTTTTATACCTGTGATTATGCTATAAAATAACAATTTAATTAGTAGCGTTTATGACAACAACATTATTTCATTTTTCACATATTCCATGCTTTCCCTCTTGACTTTCACTTCTATCCTCAAGTCTAGTTTGTTGCAAAAGACAAAATCACAAAAAAGTGCTGGTTTGTTGTGCAAAACATTTTCTGCTGTACAGTGGGGAGTTTGTTGCTCAAGGCCACACATGAGTACCATGCAGAAAAAAATGTTATAATCAGACTCACTGTAATAAGAATCTTTTGTATTGTTGGAAGACAAAAGAAAGCATCTAAAAGGTAGTCATTATAGCAAGCTGATTTGGCAATGGTGTACATATAGCTTACCTGCATATACTGCAGAAGAGATGCGGGAGCGCTCAGCAGGTGGGGCCCAGTGGGCCAGGAGCACATGGGTGGCAGGGAAGGTCACACCACCACCGAGTCCCTCCACAACTCGCATTGCAATGAACAAAAGGTAGCTGCTTTTGGCTGCGAATGGAGACAGGATTGTGGCCACAGCATTCATGAGTACACCAATGCCAAACAGGTGTTTGGCAGACAGCATCTCTGACAGTCGACCACCAGGAATCTGTGTCACAATGTAGCCCCAGAAGTAGGAGCCCAAAACCAGGCCCTGCACCTTTCCACCCCAATCAAAGGGCCCATCCTGAAAGAACCAAACATAAATTGTATAGTTGATCATGATAAGGTGTTATAAATATGAGTTGAACTTAATATGAGTTTTCAGCATGTGTGTATACATTTTCATGGCAATCCCATCCCATGATGCTGAAGTTGTCCCAAAATGGTCACTGGATTCACTTGCCTTTCTGTGAGCTTGCATTCATGTTAAAATGGCTCAGATAAATTATTCATGGCTCACATGAAGGATTTGTCATGACTTACCATAAAGGAATACTAATTAATAGATCTGGAATGACACAGGTGTGGAGTCATGGTAATTCTGAGCAGCATATTTAGTTTAGGTTTCATTGAGAATACTTTGATTTTTTTGTCAAGTGTTCACTCAGAAAAGTTCATAGCTGAAAGTTTGAGTTGATCAGCTATAGGTTCATTATGAGCTATTCTTTGTAAGTTAGATCAATTGTAGCTCAGGTTAGTTTGGTGCTATGGGCTACTTCATGAAATTGCAATGCTGGGTTGTATTAAAAAGTGTATATAGTCATGAAAAAGTACATTATTTAACTGAGTTTTCAACTTTGCATGCATGCAAAAACAACTTACTTATAAGGTGTAGTGGACTGATGTGTGAAGTCAAGTCAGGGGTTCCAGTAAGCTGGGATTCAGATTCATATATCTAGTAAGCTGGCTTTTATTTCTTGAAGTCATGCTCTAGCTTTATAGGTTGGGGATAGACCAGATTATTTATGTGCTAAGTTGGGTTGATGTTAGATAAAATTAGTTTTGCCTTGTTTGCTATGTTGGTTAAATTGTATGGGTCATTAGAGTCTGGTGCTGGGATAAACTCTTTGGAGTCTTCAAGTTAGTTTGGGGTAAAACTGTAAGTTGAGTTTCTATAATTGCAGGAGTACCTCAAGAAAAAACCTGAACAAATTTAAAGGGGCAGCCTTCAACCTAAGCAGCACCATTTTACTCTTTCTATCTTCATTGACTGAAAAATATGCTTTATTTGCTGCTTGTCAGCATTCACAAGGTTCAAAACATTTTGCACCCCCCCCCCCCCCCCACACACACAGCACAGACACACATGCCTCCAAACATAAGAATAAAACTGAAAAGAACAGAATATGCAAGACAGTGCATACAAATGCAAGAATTATTTGATTTTGTCCATTTATAAAAAACACCATATTCTTCCTTTAAATTGTCACTGTGCATAACTTGACCAAAGTACAGTGGCCCCCCTGCCTAACAGACCTCCTGTGTAAGGGATTTTTGCCCAACAGACCAGCTCTGAAAGCAGTTTTTCCTCCCGCCCAACAGACAAAATCCGCCAAACAGACTTCTTTTGGTTTCTTTTGGTTTAAAATTAGTGTTGAAAATTTCAATTTTTTATGTAATTGAATTCGTGGAAAGGACTTTTTGTCTAACAGACTCGTCCCTTGCACAAATCAAGTCCGTTAGACGGGGGTTGACTGTACTTTATAGGAGTCTCACAGGAAAGCCATCAGCATTTCCATAATTGGAGAACTATACCTCAACAAAAAAATAGGGGAAAATGGAAGGGCAGCATCAACCAAGGCAGTATACCATTTACTCTATATCTTTAAAATGCCCCTGTCCATAATTTGGCCAAAGTACTGTACTGTATACATTAAGGATGAGATGACTCACAGGAAAGCCTTCTGCTTTGGTCGCATTTCCTTCAACCACCACAGCACATGGAGACACACTCCCATGGTCATGCCCACCAGCATCCCCTGCATTTGCAATTGCAGTATGGTTCAACATGGCCACAATGGCCACGCTCAAGTTCACCTTCAGGCCATAGATGATGGCCATACCCATGGCGTTGAGCACCGCCAGGACATAGCGCATTGGGATGGCACCTGCAAAAAAACAAAATACCAAGCAGTTCAGCATTAAAATTGTGATTCTCCTCTATTTTATATATTGTACAACAGTGCTGGTCAATCTTTTTTCCTAATATTTTAGACATGGTAATGCTGACATGCGACCTAATATACAAGAAGAAGATTTCAAATAATGAGAGCTTAAATGCATTTCTAGTTGTTCAATTGTTCAAAAGGTCTATTTGATATTTACTTGCTGCATGAAAAAAAAAATAGTTTGCTTTCACCTGACATGTATCCTTCAATGTGTGTTTCTCTGGATTCATAGTCTTTTCAATACAGTAGAACCATGATAACTCAAACCTCCACAAGTTGAATACCCCCCTAAGTCAAATATTTTCAGGTCCCCATCTGAATACGCTCAAGAACCATACATTAAAAACCTCCATAAGTCAAAGCCTTTTCCCCTCAAACCTCCATAAGCCATTTTCTGTGGCCTTCTGGGTATTGTTTTCTTGAAGAAAGAAAGAAAATTTGATAAAAGCATAAATTGATGTGTTTTAAAAGGCATCCTTTCACCTCATTTATGAAGCAATTTAAGCCCCAAAATATCACCATTTAGAATTTTGGGAAATTTTGCTGTTTCCCAGAACAAAAGGGCTTTGTATTGTAGCTCAAACCTCAATACAGTAATTCAAAACCTCCCTAAGTCAAATTTTGTTGATGGTCCCTATACTTTTTTCTGATTTTTGCTGATGGTCTTGTATTTTTTATATTTAATGTTGAATTGTCTTTTGGGTTCACAGGAAGGATTAAATTCTTCTCCATTGAAGTCTTAAAAAAATCAAGTCAACAAACCTTTGGTTAAGAAACTTTTGTCTGGAATTAATCAAGATCATCAACCATCATAGGTTTTTGTACAGCATAATTCCAGCATATGATATCAAAAAGAAAAAAGAATTATTACAAAAAGTTTGCTGAGCTGAAACATATAGTCTGCTGACAGCATGGGTACATACAGTGATGAATTTTCTTTTGGGCTCACAGGTTCCTAAGTTAAGAAGAGGTAACTTCAGATTCCCTTTTATTTTAAGTTAATATTGTTTGGAAACCAATTGTTTGAAAACAGACCTCGATCAGTTCTAGTAGTTGGGATAAAATCCAAAAACATGTCGATAATTCCAGCATATGATTACAAAAAAGTAGAAAAAAATGATTACAAAAAGTGTGCTGAGCTGAAACATAGTCTGCTGACAGCATGGGTACATACAGTCATGAGAAAAAAAGACAGGAACCAGGCGACACAAGACAACCCAACACCCGAAACTGCTGGCAAAAGTGTTGGTTTATCTGACTGGCTGGTTCAGAATACAGTATATATATATATACAGGGACCAGTTCAGGTTACCCACCTCCCCGGGTTTTGTCTCGTGCCCATCATCAGCATCATCATGCAAGAACAATAACAAGAACCCAGCTCGGGTCTCGGGCCTGCCTGTTTCCCGGGGCTGCATTCATCTAATTGGAATAATCGGATACAGGGACAAGGCGCCAAAAGGGAGAATAACAGCTTTCTTTCTTTATTCCTTCCCCATCACTTATACAGTATTCTGCATATGCACGTAGGAGCACTGCAACATGACTCCAACTCAATCCACTATCTTACTTTTTTCTTCTTCTTTTCTTTTAATTTTTTGTTCTTCTTTTTATTAAAAAAGAAACCTTGTTATTCATCTTCTTGTCTACAGCAAAAGCTAGCTGAAAAATGTTCTTATTTCTCCTCTCATCCCTCCGCTCTATTTTTTATCTTCTCTTTTTTTTATCTTCTGTTACCAGAATATACATAGGGGCCATGATAAAAAAAACGCAAACACAAAGAAAAAAGACAAGGCTGGAGATCAAAGGAAGCAAGAATGCCAGGGCATTCTTCAAAAGTTCTGGATTCTCTTCAGAGTGTCTTTTATTCTGTTGAAACATGAGCAATTTTTTTCTGCACTAGAATAATGGTAGGCAATAATTTAGGTGAAGAAGAGGTTCTGGAAACTTCTGAGATCAAAATACATCAATAATATAGAGTGCACATCAAAGTAGTTTGAAAGTTATATAATATAGCATTAAATACATTGTGGCTAATTCAGGTTAAATTTTTGGTTGTACTGTGAAACAAAATTTGTGCAAATATTTTTTTCACATGACATTTTCTCCTGGAAAAAAGAACATGCATGAATTTCAAAAAGTTTCCAGTTTACGTGTTTGAAAATTTGCTTCCAGACGAGGCAAGCATTTTTCAAGGATAGATAAGGACCAAGACTGAAGTGAAACAACATCTAAGAATACAGAAAAAACAATTCAAGGAGAGTTTTGGAAGGATTTTGATTGATTTTACAGTGGTCTCTTCTTCTGTTTAAAAAATGACCACGATAATTTCTAAAGTACCAGATGAAAAAAAAAATCAGGCAAAGGGTGCATATCAGATTTCCTGGTCTGGACAACAAAAAAAAAACCCCAGATGAACCCATCAGTGGTACTTCTAAACTTTAAAAAATAGGACACAGTTTTTCATAACAAGCATAGACAATTTTGACAAATGACAGAGATTTAGATTTTGAATATTTCAGGACACAAAAATATCTGCTGATCAACATCAAATAAGTTGTTTTTGTTCTGGTAACAGAAAAAAATTTCGAAGTACTGTACTTCAGTACTAGCTTAGAAAATGTAGTTAATGCAACAGTACCATGAAATGTCTATAAATATTCATAGAATGTCAAAAGAAAAAGAACACAACGACATTTTCAAGTGATGTTTCAAAGCAACAGAAAATTTTTGAAGCACAAGCCAAGAGTATTCAAGGTAAAGATGTATTATTTTCAAGATTTATCACAAGCTCTTGATTGGAATGACTAAAAAGACCGATTGTTTAAATTATCAAGCTTTAAATTAGTCTGTCCATTATTCCGAAAAAGTTTCTTTTTTTTTAAACTTGTAGCACTTTGAAGCAGGGATGAAAATATTATTTAATTTTGAATGAGATCTGAGGCAAACATTTGGTGAACCCCAATGAGACAAACTTTTGAAATTCCTTTTGAATAATGAAAAAAAATTATCTATCTCAAAGACATATAATTCAAGCAGAGAATTCATTGAGTAGAAAGACATTTTTCAACTGTCTATTTCGAAAAAAAATAACTGGAGATCTGGTTGAGAGTGTTTTTCCTTTTGAAAAATATCCCAAAGTATGAGAAATCAACATATTTTGAACAATTAAAAACGCTTTTCAATTCAAAAATAAAACACTGGAATCAACATCATTCTTTCACATGTAAAACTTTCCAGAATTTATTTTTGTGTATATGGGATATATATTTCTTTAGAGTCAACAGTAGCAACTGATTTATTGTCAAGGTGGACTGTGTTCAAGTACATAAGACATCTTATTCTAAATTTTCTCATGTTTAACACAGTTTCCCCCAATTAAAATAAAATAAGGCATTTTGACAACTGATTTTGTTTTTCAAGGAACATCTCAGAAATCAATTCAAAATTTTTACAAAATTGCATGAACCTCTAGGAAGGAGAGACATTGTTGTCTTGTAGTCAAGCAACTTAGAAGTTTTAAATAACTTTCAAGATTCTCCAAAGAAAATACATCTCAGGAACAAATTTAATCAAAAGAAAATTTTATTTTTTACTCCTAGAAGTGCTTGTATAAGCCAGCAGGTACAGCACAAACTCTGAAGTGATTGATCCTTTTTGGAAATGCAATATAAGTGTTTTAAAATTTTCATCATGTATTTTTCATGCCTGCCATCACAGTAATTATAAAGGAAAATGATCCCATATCTTTCTATAGACAGAAACAGGGAACCTCACCTTTTGTCTTCCAGCTTCCTAGTTTTATCTGGTTTTGTGTCTTTGAAATATGACCCAAGCACAGTGATACATTCAATATTGTGTTTCTGTCTGAGTCATTCCCCTTTTTTTCAACTAAAATTGTATCAAACAATAACCCAAAGAAGGAAAGATATACAGTCAACACACCCTTCTCAGAGAGCTGACATCCTTCTTACAATATCAAGTAGTAGAGCGTCCGCTGTGCGAACAAAAAAAAACAAAAAAATGAAAAATCGATTCCAGAAGTGGGATTCAAACCCACGCCTGCAGAACCAGACTGTGACCTAATCACAGCGCCTTAGACCACTTGGCCATCCTGACAACTTAATGTACAGAATGCGTTTTTTTTTTCATGTAAGAAACAAACAGTAAACAAACAGGCCACAGACACACGTTACACACGTCCTTATTATTCCCCCCCAGACCCCTGTAGGATCCTACTGGTTGTTCCTCCCACTGCATTGTATAACTGCAGTTGACCTTCTAGTAATCAAATTCAAAGCAACTAAATTTTTCACTTATGATATTTTTGAGTAGGGTAAAGCAAATTTGTTAAAGAAGAAAATAATTATTTGGCCTAATTATACAAGTTCTTATCATTCATAGTTGATAAACCAGCAGTAAGTACAGTGTGAAAGACTTCCAAAAATCATACAGTTAATTATCAGCATCTGTTTGCCGGTTTTTCTGGAGCAGGTGTTCTAAAATTTACCTCAGTTGAACAAAACAAAGGCCTACAAGTTCAACTAATGTAGGTTATTGGTTATTTCACTTGCAGTTTTGAGTAGCAGAGGATTAAATTGAAAGGTCACACTGGAATTGGCAAAGAAATAGTTGTAGATATAAATTATGAAGAATTTTGGTTTGGGCAGTTCCACTCAGTGAGGCCCAGCTGTGCCACTAAATATATTTTGCATAAAAGATGAGATTATACAATTGCTTTCATCAGAAAAATCAAAGAAAAACAAAGAATTCATGAATTTTTATGTTCTGTGATGTATATTTTGTTTTTATTTTCATTTTTGAATGAATGGATGAGTGGAGAGGGGGAATGTTTTTAACCTTGGGATCACTGTCAAGCAAAAAAGGCATATTCATCAATCAACTAATTGAATAATCAGTCTTTTGATTTGAACAAAAAAGATATATTTTGTGCAGTTCATTTAGAAATATACCAACAAAGAAAAAGAGTTGCAAGGTATATTGCTGTTGGCTGAACAACTTGAGTCCCAGCTACCCATGTGTGGGTCTCCCACTTTCCTCAGTTCAGAATGTAGATGAATCACACTTTTCTTTGTCAGAGTTGAATGACCCCAAAGAGGTATAAGACCACTCCCAAATATCCTATTAGTATATATCTGTGTTACCTCCAACAGTTCATGTGACACAAATCCCACTGGAAAATAGTGCCACCAACATTCTTCTTCAATTTGAAAACACTTATGCATGACATTTTCTAGTTCCAGAAAATCCACTTCGTTTTCTTTTCTGGTCACTAATCCATAGACATAGTCACTAATTTTCCCCTTAAAAAACTTCGATTATGTATGCTGATTTTCTCACCCGTTTCATGCACCCTTATTATTTTACTGT